GCTCGTTGTCACCCTTATTCTATAAAAAAAAAAACTTATTCAATACAAGCTGTATTGAAGTTGCGTAAGTCCCGCCGCATGCATTTGGAGATCTGTCTGTTCAGTTGCCTGTATGCTGTCAAATCTGTTGAAGAATGTAGCTTCATCTCCCGTCTTACAGCCATGAGATTGAGAGTGTGATCGAGAGTTTTTGTCTTCTTCTTCGGCGGGTCTTGCAGAACTTAGCTATGATCGCATGGACAGTTTCCACGAGCTTGTCATTCACATCGTCCACTTCATTGCAGTCTTCTAGGCACTGAAAACGGTTTTGTAACTCGAGCTTAAAGGTTTCGGGACTCTGGAACAGAGCACGAGGGGGACAGAGCGTTGACTTCATTAGGTTCAGTGTGCCTCTAACTATTCGGTGATCGCTACCAGTTTTCACCCTCGCGATCACGAAGACATCACTGAACAGTTGTCGTCTGGTCGTCATCATGAAGTCAATCTCAATTTTTGTGGAACCGTCAGGGCTCGACTAGGTCCACTTCCTGTGGGGCCGCTTCTGGAAGAAAGAGTTCATCATTAAGACTCCCTCTTTCTCCATGAGTTCGGTCAGCTGCTGGTCCCTTGGGTTGCGTTGCCCTATTCGAAATTTCCCTTCTTTCAGCTCACCCTTCTCTCTTGTGCCTAGTTTTGCATTGAAGTCTCCCATTAACAACGTATATTGGGTTTTGGAGGAATTCATGGCTCTAGAGATATCCTCATACATTTCCTCCACCTCCTCATCGGGGTGTGCCGAGGTTGGTGCGTACACCTGTATCACCTTCAGCGAATACCGTTTGGTGATCCTGTATAGTATATGGTACGCAACCCTCGTCGACACAATCTCAATCTTTACAACGTTGATAACGAGAGACTTGTGGACGATAAATCCGACACCTCCTTGGGACAGATGGTCGCCCTCCCGGTGATAGAGCAAGTTGCCAGATTCGAGGATTACCGTGTCCTCCCCCTCTCTTCGAACTTCGGATATTCCTGCGGATAAAAGGTTAAGTGATCTAGTATAATTACAGGCAATCTTTGTTTTTTGTTTGTTATTTCCTGTTAAAACGCTTTTTTGGCCTTCTTTTACTGGAAAGGTTATATATTCGTATGCTGCTATAGCCATTTACCGTTACGTTGGCTGTTAGTCCGTTTGTCGATTGTCAATCAATCTAAACAAAACCAAAATGTCTGTTTGTAATGTTAAAATAACAGTATATACGGTACTTATAACCAAAAAAAAATTAGTCTGTCTGTCTGTCTCTTTGCTCCGGCTAATCTCCAAAATGGCAGGACCGATTCTGACGGGACTTTCAGTGGCAGATAGCTAATATTATAATGAGTAACTTAGGGTAATTTTATTATTAAAAAAATATTTAGGGTTCCGCGAAAAAAATTAAAACACTAAATTACACGCGACCGAAGTCGTTGGGAGTTATATATAAAAAATTAACAATAACTAGTCAACAACTCGATAAAAAAGGTACATTACGGTAAGAAAAGGCATAAACTGGTCAGGCGAACAATATCGGGTAGTAAATAAAAGCCACAAAGTTTTATGTCGGTCGCCTCCAATTTTATAGTACACTTCGCTAGACTATCTATAACTTGTATCTCTAGCTTGTTTTCTATTGAAAAGAGAACATACATGCTCACATGTAAATTATTATTTTATCTGTAGATTTAACGTGGTGCAGTCACGCTGCACATTTTTTATCGCTGCGGTAAGGACGACTCTGCTCGACCGAAAAAGGTCCGCTCGCTAAAACGCTCCCACATAATATCAGTATAAAATAGCAGTTTAATGCCACTGTGTTTTATATTACGAGAACTGAAATCCTTTGACTGGTTACTAAGCATTCCATCTTAGTCCTCACGGGAAACACTGTAGACCCGGCACAATTTTTCTTAAGCAACAATAATACTTATCTCGAGTGAAAATCAAATCCACTGCCCGCAGTGTCGCAAACAAAGGCAAAGCCTCTGTACCTTGCTGACGATTGGTTATATTTACGGTTCACCATTTAAGATAAATATCATAAATCATAATGTATAACAATATTTTACAAAAAAAAAATTAACATTTTTAGTGAAATTTAAACAATAATGTCAAGGTCTGTTCTAATTTCTGTAGTCACTTTGCATGAAACTAGACCGCGATAAAATAAAATTAATGTCATTACTTTTAATTTAACATGTTTCACGAGTGACATTCAAAACTGAACTCCGCACGTGACAAGATGCCGAATGTACATTAGTTATCCAATGAAATATATTTCTGTTTATTTAATGCTAAGTTACACCTCGTCTAGACTGGAATAGAAAAGACATGGAGTCACACAAAACCAATCCTTTAAAAAAATGTATAGAGTTTATCCTGTATACTAAAGGTTTGGAAATTTATTACTATGTTCACATTCTCCAAAACATATATAAAAATAATTGACAAAGGATTATAGGATCAATGTGTCACAAAGAAATTACGCAGTTACAGGATATCAAAGTAAATCGAAAATAATCTGAAACCGAACAACCAGAACAATAGAGGAAGTGATGCCGGTCCAACGATGCACTGGAGGAAGTGCAAATAGTGGCATTATCAATGTGGTGAGTCGAGATGAAGACAATTTGGAATAGTTGCAGTAGCTGAAGGCTGCAGAAGATAGAATTTAATTGGGAGTGAAAGAAAAGATTTGAGAATGAAGACACAAGCTTTGAGTCGTAGTTTTCAAAAGTTACAGACTGCGAGTCCAAATGAAATTGGGGTCAGCAGTTTGGCCCCGTAGATAAGGAAATATTAACCGGGCAAAGTTGACCCTATGTGGTCGTATAGGGTTAGGTGTATTTGTAGAGTAATTTGGAAACTTCAGTAGTGTGATTTTTTACTTAATTTGTTCTGTTTCTGTTTTGTAGTATGTATCGGCTTTTTAACAACATAACTGGCAATCGAGTTTAAAGTTAACTCTATAGGAAATGTCTAGTAAAATTCTCGAGCATTAAATCGAAATATCATGATATCGAACCTAGCACCCTTATTACAAAGGGACTTTTATTGTTATGGTCATGGCCATGAAAATATACTCGTATAATTTAGTACATGAATGTATGTAAATGAAGTGTTCGACTTTAGAATCAGAGTAACCGACATACACAATGGATAAGTAATTTAAAAGGGCAACGGTCCGGCTATAGCTCGAAGAACTGACAACCGATAATTAAGAAGGTACTCTACTGGCAGCCTTCTATCGGTAAGCAACATGTAAGGCAATCATTAAATAGTTAGAGTTATGACCTAGTAAAACATGCAGTAAATCGATGGATGCAGGTTGCTCAGGTCAAAGTCCTATATTCAGCGTGGACTTGTGAAAGGCTGTAATGATGATGATGATGATATTAATACTAATACGTTCTAAAAAATCTATATATAATAATGCTTGTAGTGTATGTAAAAATTAATGATTGTGCAGCGTACAGCTTAGTGATCAGAGCATCTGAATACTATTGTTTTGTAGTACTTGTTGCATAATTTATGACAGTAATATTTGCCGTAATCTTACCTCTTTGTCGTCGCTCTGGACTCTAATTCCGGAACAAACCTAAGAGGGTTATACTGCTATCTATCGACGGAGAAATGTATTTCTAGTATTATAAAAATGTCTTCGAGACAGAAAATCGGTCACGGCAGATAGCAGCTATTCCTTCACTCTAATAGTTTAATAGGATGACAATAGACGCGATCGGAGAGAGATTATGCGCAGTAACAATGGTTGAGAATTCCTTCACAGAAAAACAGTAGCTCAGTTTAACCTGACCCGAGATTCGAGCCTGGGAACACATGATCAATAGTCCTAATTTTTTTTTAAATGTTACCCACACACTAGGATTTTCTCGTGTATCGAGGAGGCAGTTTACAAACATAAATTGCTCATGGACAAACATCCAGGCCCGGAACATGTATTTGTACATACATATAATCACACCTCTTTCCCGTAGGGGTAGGCAAGACCACTTCTTTCCACTTGCTACGATCCTTACATACTTGTGTCGCTTCGTCCACTTTCATTATTCCCTTCATACATGCTCTTCGGTTTAGGGTACTCTTGACCTGGCCTTTTTTCAAGACGTCCCTGATTTGGTCTAGAAACGTCCGCCTAGGTCTACCCCTTCCAACACTTTCATTCACACTCGCCTTATACACCTTTTTCGTCAATCGTTCTTCATTCATTCTCACAACATGGCCAAACCATCTCAGCATAACTTTCTCAATTTTTGCCACTACATTTTTTTATAGGATAGGGTGACAAACGAGCACACAGTCCACCTGATGGTAAGTGATTGCTGTGGCCCATAGACATTTACATCTATCCTTGTTTGCGAATCAAAATGTAGATGCGTTGTCACCCGTGAGGACTAAGATAGAATGCCTCTTTTCCAGTAAAAAGGGCCTCCGGCCACCTGCACTCACCGAGCACGCTGGTATTCTGTGAGGTCGTGGTACCACCCCGGTTCGAGCCAGCCCATCCATGCGACAGCAAAAGCTGCCGCGTGGCTCTACCACTGTTAAAAGAGTGAAGTGTTCCTCTTGATTTATAGTTAACATAGAACTAAAAAAATGTATATATATATATATATATATATATATATATATATATATATATATATATATATATATATATAACTAATACACACATTCATAACTAAAACTAAGCTAATAATAATGATTTGACTATCGTCGTGAACCACTCAAACACATGCATTTTAAACTTAATTTATGTTACAGGAATATTAGTAGTGTTACTAGCACTGGCAGTATTCTTAAAAAAAATGCGAGTGTACATAGTTACATAGATAATTCAATGTATAAAATTAGATAATTTAATTTATTACAGCTTTATAAAGAAAAGTATAATTTTCTAGAAACTTATTGGGAATGAATTGTTTATCATGATTTTACTTAATGCTCAATATGTTTGTTCCAGATTTTCAACAATGAATCACAGAAGTATATATTACATCGCTTGCTTCGCTGCCCTTGTTTTCTCTGTAGCAAGTAAGTATCGATTTTTTATACTATTATATTTTTAGGCCAAGGCTTTTAATATGCTTCACATGGTATATTTTTAGGAAAAAAGACCTGTTTTAATTTCAAACTCAATAAAGAGATAAGGAATATTTTATTACTTATGGAAGATTGATAAATTAGCACACAGTCCACAGTGTTGCCTTGTAAAAATCAAAATGTATTTGTCGTTGTTATCCCTGAAGACTGAAATGGAATGCCTCATTAACAGTAGATCGGGTCTCCGATTCTTGTTACTCATCATACAAAACGCCTGAGTTCTGAGTCCAATAATTCATTATCATAACAGCCCGTCAAAATTCTACTGCTCAACATAGACCTCCCTATAGAATGCTTCATAGGGAATATTTTACCGTTGTTGCCACAATTAGCAGCAGGCGGGTATTTTTACAATTTAGGGTTGTTATAAGGAATATGCTGCTGCCCATCTTCTGTATTGGTTTTCCTCTGTTTTTTTTTTCTCTTACGCCACTAACACGACATATGTCTGAGGCTTAGTCTCTTTTATTCTTCCTCTCCTTCCTTCCCTTATCGGGTCGGCATAGCATGTCTTCCTCTTCCATTCTTGTCTTATGCATAAAATTTTTAATGTCTCTCCAGCTTTTCCTAGGCCTCCCTATAGACTTACACCCGTCCACTCGCATAGCCAACATTCTCCTCGTTATACGATTTACTTCCCTGCATATTTTAATACGTGGTAAAGCCATGCTGCAGCTATATTAATAGTATAGTTGTAGCACGAATGTGTCGGCTTGATCGGGGTAGGATCACGCTCTCACAGAATACCATCGTAAAATAGCAGTTTAACGCTGCTGTGTTCCGTATGGTGAGTGTAGAGAATAGGAGACCCTTTTTACTGGAAACGAGGCATTCCATCTCAGTAATCACGGCTGACAACGCATCTGCATTTTGATTCGCAAACGAGGATAGATGTAGATGTCTATAAGCCACAGCATCACTTACATTCAGGTGTACTGTGTACTCGCTTATCACCCATATCCTATAAAAATGCCCATACTACGCTAGCCTCCCATTTCTCAACTTTTCCGTGACTGAGGCCACTTTTAAATCTTAGGTTTATAATAAGTTTTACGTAAAGTTCTTTGATCAATATGTCATTAAATTCTCATTCATAAGGTATACTCGTATATTAAACGTTGTATTAAGCGAAACGTTATTACTTTTTTTATTTTATGTTTTACGATATTATGTACTTTGATTAAGAAGAAATTGGTTCACACCAATCAAATATGACTTAAGTAGATTTTTTTAAATGCAAGAAACCTTTTACGAAATTTATTTTACGCATTCTTTCGTATTTTTTATGTAATTGCATTTCGTTAGGACACACATACGAGTAGCATTATTTGCTTCTCACAAAAAGCATTGGTTTATAATTCCGGTATGTGTGGTGAAATTCGATTATAAAATTAATTTTGCTGCCTGGCCTTTCTTTCACTTAATAACGATCTCGGTAAATCTTGGGTAGGGGCAGGACTTCGGTAAAATTGATCATATAATGAGGGATGCTGGTGACAGAAGTTTGTCAAAAAATTACTGTTAAATTACGATTACAAAATCTCTTAAAATTTTACCCATTTACGATAGCCGCTTAACAATGTCTAACATTCATGATAATAAGGATTACGCTCGTATAACCAGTCAGGTAAAAATTATTAATAATAAAATGGGTGGGACTTGTTTGATAGAAAATAATATAGAGTTCTATATTTTTCTTCGGTATTTTAACTTATGGTTTTTTTTTGAAGAAGCTTTTCAGTTTTATGATTCAAACTCATCTTCAAAGTTCATGAAATATTTTTTCCATCAGTAAGAAATTACAAATTATCCGGGCGGGTTTTTGATGATTTAATGAATTTATTTCTCAGCATATAATAAAAGAAACTCCCAAAGCCGTATTTGTATTACTTTTATAGCCTATATTTTCCAGCTTAGAGGGTAAGTAATTACATTTTAAGGACGAAATATTACCCATAGGATCCAGTTATTTATGAGTCATTGTGTGTCCTCTTTTGAGTCTACGTTAATCTCCTCTACATTCGTAAAAGGAATCCAAGATAAAAGCGCCTTATCTACACAATAATGTCCCATCACACAGACTCTATCGCTGCTTGCGGATTTGAGCTGAATCGGATCCTACATGTATTGTGAAATACATACAAGACTAAAACATCTTGGTGCTTTGTTTTGACCTAATTGTGATAGCAAATTTTTACCGTTAATTTAAAGAAATGTTTTTCAGCATTGCTTTACTAATGTTTTTTGACTACCTTATACCTGTAAAATTTGGTAGAGAAACGAATATAATACCTATTAATGTAAAGTTCCTCCTTACAATGGGAGAGTAGTTAAGTACCGCAGTAGGCTTAATACAGGCTGCTGCAGAAAAACAAGATTATCAAGTTAGGCGACAAACAATAATTAAAATATTATTACAGTACGCAGCCCACATCTTAAAACAGTAAAGAGGTACAAAAGTGCTTTTAGCTCTTTAATATTTGTTTTAAAATTCCTAGAATTAAAGTTTCTTAAATGAGTAAATTATTTACTTGAATCGAAAGTATCAAGGTATAGTAAGCGGTGTATTAAAGGTACAAGACGAATGACGCGATTAAGTTGAGCAACTCGGAATGCCTTGATAGTTGAAGCTAGAATTGCTTTGCGACAGCCTTGCGATTGCGTTTCTGCTCCATACATACATACATTATCAAGTATATTGAACATAAACACTACATAGTCAACCAAAGATTTACTAAATTTAATTTTCTAATGATTTTATAATAGTTATTTTCAAATAAGTTGTTTTTTTCGTAGAAGAATGTTACGCGTACACTAGGAATTTCTCGTATATCTTGTAGACTGTAGTAGATTTACATAATGTATAAATTGCGCAAAGGGAAACATCCAGATTAAAGAAAATATAAATATTTTAACATCTGGTACAGTTCTTGATCACCTTTCACGTGTTATGAAGATACTCAAAGATAGGACAAGTGTAACGAGGCAAATATCGAACGTTTTCGTTTACTACCAGAATTTTCAACTTCCGAGATTACTATTCGTTATTAGTATGACTCTGATAATAATAATAATAAAATAACAGAATGCAGAAAATATGTTATTGACCTTGGCCAGACCATAGATCTGACTAAAGTTGGCCCAAAACAATTTTGGAACCTGAGGGATTATCCGACATTTTTTCATCAAGTTATGCCCCATTGATAATTTAAAATCAGCGCCATCTAACGTGTTACTACTACAAAGTATTTTTTGTTTTCTTACAAAGGGCCTTAGTAATACAATAAAAATCTAATTAATGAAAATTGTTATATGTATTCTATTTTTTTAGATGTAGATAAAAATATTTTTATGATTGATAACATCTAGACAAGAATCGAAAATACTATGTCAAAGCGCAAACCTAAAAGTTGGTAGTTTTTTAGTAAAGTGTACCACAAAAATGCAAAGATTTTGAGATAGTGAAGGGCTCGCTTCGCTCGCCCTGATTAACTAATATTAGCTTGTTGACTGAACTGATTTGAATAGTGTTTTAATTACACTTTTAGTGTGCTATTATATAATGGATAATCTTTTTATTATTAATAAACATTCACCCGTTGTTCTTACAGAAGCTCAAGAATTATCAAAAGGTGAAATGCAGACAGTTCTTGAAACTACGACAAAATACAGCATAGAAACAGTAGCACCATTTAACGAACGTTTTGAAGAACAACAATTAGCAGATAGTTCATCTTCCGGAAACGTAAATAATAAAGGTAGTGGTGATACATATAGCACTACAATTGACGCGGAGGGAAAATTAGTTAATGCATCAAACATAAAAGTTCTAAATAAAAGCGAGCCTTTAAGAGTACTTGAAAGCGCTTCACGAGTTTTAATACCATCTCTTTATAACCAAACGGTTAACGATCTAATACATCAAATAAAACCTCCAAATATTTCAGACATAGTAAATAAAAATATAATGAAAATAACACAAGAAATTGCAGGAAAGAGAGCTTCAGCTAAAAGGCAGTATAATAAATCAAGAGCTCATGTAAGATATGATGAAGTGACTGGAGAATTAATTAACGGTGATCATCCCTGTCATCGCGAATGTATCGAAGGAGAAGAACCTATGATTTGTCATTATCATTTCAATATAGAATGGTATCAAACTATGAGTAAAGCTTGTTATGATTGTCCATACAATGCAAGCGACTGTTCAAGAATGGATTGTATTCCTGCGGATGGAATTAGTAGGCCGTTGAACGTTGTCAACAGAAAAATGCCAGGACCTGCTATTGAGGTAAATAGAAACTATGTGTAATGAAACAATACGGTGTCACAATATGTTATATGTTTTCAAGTAATTACGTTTTATTTTCTAATAAAAAAGAAACTGATATAACTCAAACTAATATTATGCTATTAAATTATACAATTTTTTCAGGTATGTCATCATGATAGAATCGTAGTAGATGTAGAAAATCACTTAATGACGGAAGGTACTACAGTACATTGGCACGGTCAGCACCAAAGAGGCAGTCCCTATATGGATGGAACTCCTTACGTTACTCAGTGTCCTATTTTGCCTGAATCAACCTTCAGGTACTTGAACTTCTTGAAAAAAAAAACATAGAGTAGTTTAACCTAAAACTAAAAGCTTATTAAGTTTCTTTACTCTACATCAATTTAGCAAACTTTTTCCCTAAATAAATTTTGACTATAAATATTTTTTTTTGCTAATATATATATATATGATAAATTAATAAAATCATACTTTTATTATTATTTGAAATAGATATAAAGAGTAAACGCTTCTCTCTATAATTAATATTAATAAATTAAAATGTTTAATTATTCAAGATCGCGATGATATTCTTACTCAAGGTCTTATTGTTCATCTTATTCCTGTAGTTTATCGATTTTTTGAATATTTTATTAATTATTGGTATCAATTTATATAGGTATCAATTTAACGCGTCGCACGCCGGAACTCATTTTTGGCACTCACATTCGGGCATGCAAAGGGCGGATGGCGCTGCTGGTGCATTGATTATCAGAAAGCCAAAGTCTCAGGATCCTCATGGCCGGCTTTATGACTACGACAGGTACCACAAACTTTAAATTTTAATGTGTATTGAGTAAGTTATCTATAAAATGTTTACATGAATCTTAGAAAATTTATTTTTAAGACCAATGTTAGCATACATATATTTAACTGAGTGTCAACTGAATATAATATCACAAGTGGTATATGTGCATATGGTGTAAGAGAAATTAATAAATTCTTTACCATATGCCATATGCATATTATAAAAGCATAGAATCATTTTTATTCTATATACGAAAAAAGTGATTTAGATAAATGTAATTATTTTGATAGTATGTTAATTGAAAGTATTTGTTTATTTATACATATTCATTTAAATATGCCAAATTTCAACTCGACTCTCACGTGATAGCGACTAGCATCACCACACTACTAATTTTCTCACCACAAATTTTTACCAAGGCATCGGTTTGGCGCTCACTAGCCTATTCAGGGCAGTGAATTAACAGTGGTAGAGCCACGCGGCAGCTTTTGCTATCGCACGGATGGGTCGGCTCGAACCGGGGTCTGTACGACGACCTCACAGATTATCAGCGTGAAGTTGAGGTTTACCTCTGCGTTTCGCTTGGTGAGTGCAGGTGGCTGGAGGCCCTTTTTACTGTAAATGAGGCATTCCATCCTAGTCCTCACGGGTGAAAACGCATCTGCATTTTTTTTATAGCATCGGGTGACAAACGAGCACACAGTCCACCTGATGGTAAGTGGTTACTGTGACCCATAGACATCTACATCTACCCTCAATAAAGACTCAAGATGCAGATGCGTTGTCACTCGTGAGGACTAAGATGGAATGCCTCTTTGCCAGTAAAAAGGGTCTCCGGTTCTCTACATTCACCATACGAAACACAGCAGCGTTAAGCTGCTATTTTACGCTGGTTTTCTGTGAGAGCGTGGTCCTTCCCCGTTCGAGCCGACCCATTCGTGCTACAACCATAATATAGCTGCAGCATGGCTCTACAACGTTTTGATTTTTAATAGAGGATAGATGTAGATGTCTATGGGCCGCAGCAACCACTTACCATCAGGTGGACTGTGTGCTCGTTTGTCACTCTTATCCTATATAAAAAAAAGTGAGCTGGTGAGTAATGGGTAGAGCTTTCAAGTAATATAGTCTTTCGTTCTTTAATGTCGCAGACAAACGGCAAACATGTGTTGAATAAGCAGAAGGAAATAAAATCAAAAGTAATTTCACACTTACTTCGTTTTTTTTCAGATCAGAACACGTGATGATAGTAACGGATTGGATCCACGAATTGTCTGTTTCAATGTTCACAGACCACCACCATTCAACAGGTGATAACAAGCCTCCCACTTTGTTGATTAATGGTGTGGGTCGATTTAGAATCTTCAATGAAACTACCGAACCTGTTTACATGAAAGCCGCGAGATTTGATGTTGAGCAGGTGAATTTATAATTGTGTACATGTTTTACATTAAAAAAAAAACAAGTGCATGTCGCTTTAAAATTGAATACGCTATACTGTAGTTTCGCTTATTTACTTCTTATTCCATTATTTTTCCCGGTCTCCTATACTGTTCTGTGATTCATCAGCTTTTAAAATTGCTTCTGCTTGCGAATCGTAAATAAAAACATCGTAGGTGGAAAATAAAGTTTGCGGAGTTTTAAATTACTGATATTCATTGCCAAACTCTAAGACAAGTGCGTGCAAACTTTTGGACGGTAGTGTATATACCTGTTTAAGCCTATCATAACCCTTTTAGCACGCATCATTACTCGGTATTTATTTACTTGTTACTATAAAAATATATTCTTATGACATTAACTTATTTAAACTTAAAAAGAAGAAATGATAACTTATTATTCGTTTTATAAAGGTAATGTCGTGTTTATAGAAAACCTATTTTCAATAAATATGTTTTTATCCTTCTCGAAGATCACAAAACTCCTTTGATGGTATCAAAGGAGTAATAATATTTTTAGAAAAAAGTTATAAATTATAATTATACGTTTTAAAATTGTAACAAAATATTACTTTTCTTTGAAGGGTTACAAATATCGCTTCCGAGTGATCAATGCTGAGTTCCTTAACTGTCCCATTGAGATGTCAGTAGATGACCATAATATTACTGTTATTGCATCTGACGGTTATGATCTGGAACCGATAACAGGTAATTTTTTTATATATTATAATATAATTAATTAAACTTACATAAATTTATATTAGTGATACATGTCTATATAATTTTTATTCTTTGATGTGGTTACTATGTAATTAATTATTTAAAGAGTCTTGAGCACGAGGTAGAGCTATGCTCTATCTGTGTTATGGTTGTAGCAAGACTGGGTCGGCTTGACTAAAGTAGGACCACGCTCCCACAGAATACCAGCGTAAAACAACAGCCTAATGCTGTTGTGGTTTGTATGGTGAATGAGCGAACCGAAGACCCTTTTTACTTGATACGAGGCATTCCATCTAAGGCGACACATCGAAAACCGTTGAAGCGGGCTATTGCCGGACTAACCCGAGTAAAAAATAATTTTGATAAAAACTTCAAAAACACCGTCATAAGGTTTAAAATTGCGTAGCGCCCACGACGATACAGACCGCTTAGAAATCGTTTAGAACCTTAAAATATTTAAAAAAAATTATTGATCTTAGTAATCAAAATAATGAGCAAGTAAATTACGAATATTGATCTTATGAATGTATTTGAGTGGTTCCCAAGCGTATAGAATTAAGTAATTTCGTTGTAATTTCAACTATAGTGATTTTTAGAGGTGTTTTTGCAAATAATTATGATCGAGACGAAATTTCACAATCGTGTTTTTGAACTAGCAAATTCAAGATAAAGACATGAATTTACCTATATCAAAATTCCAGTTTCGTTAGTCGTGTCATACTCCTATACTATTCGATGAAAGAAGGTGCGTTTTTTCGCGGTGTCGCCTTAATCCTCAAGCGTAATAACGCATCTGCATATTGATTCTTAATAGACGATAAATGTTGACGTCTATGTCCACAGAATCCACTTACTATAAGGTAGATTGTTTTCTCGTTTGTCATCCTTATTTTTTATATAACAAACTGTGTGTTTTAAATTTAAGTTATTTAAATGTTTCTAAAACCTCTTAAAATTTATTATAGCAACATCCCTGGTGACTTATGCCGGTGAGCGTTACGATTTTATTCTCGAGGCAAACAAGGAAATTAGTAACTATTGGATTAGATTCCGCGGACTTATGGATTGTGATGAAAGGTCAGTTACATTAATAGTACTTTTTCATTTAATATTCGAATTACATTAATTTTAGCTAAATTTTCTCCATTATAAGATAACTACTCTGTAATTGTAGAGTAATAATACTCTGATTTAGCGATAATAACATGGATTTATTTAATTTTTATGATTAGGTTTACAAAAGCAAAACAAGTTGCTGTACTACATTACGAAGGCGCGATGGATTTGGAACCATCAGGGGATCCAACCTGGGAAGAGTCGCATAATGAAGGACTGGTATGTTTCTTTGTTGGATTTTGGGATGTTATTTATGTACTAATTTACACGTAAGATAGCAAACGTTAAATTACCTCTTATAATATTATGTTTATTCCAGCAACTGAATGCACTAAATAAAGGTGAAGAAGAAAATGAAACAATAAGTGTAGCTGAAATGAGGTCCCTTGAAGGCTATGATGACAGTTTAAAAGAAGTCGCGGATTATCAATTCTACGTGGCTTACGACTTTTATCCTAAAAATAATTCCCATTTTCACAAGTCGCCTTATTATGGCTATTACCAAGGTACGTTTTAATTTTTAATTATTGAAATGATTAATGATTAACTGAGAACTACCCCTATAAATGAAAGAGAAGAGGCCTGTGCCAAACAATAGTTTTTTTTTATAAATATAGAGCATACAAGCTAATAAACTAATATCACCGTAAGTGACTAATGCATTCCAAAAAAAAAAAAACAAATGTCAAAAAATACGTCGTAATAAAGTTAAATTTCTCATTGCCTGTAAACTAAACTGACCCTTTTACTCAATAATCGGAGCACAGCAGTGGGGTGCATTTATGCTAGGCGGTAGAAATAGTTGATAGGGTTGTATTTCACCAAACGGACTTCCAGATAGAACTTAATAAAAGTCTACTATAGTTTACGGTAGATTCGACTGCTATTATGAAAATTACAGCAGATTAGTTTAGTAGCAAATATTATTATTAACTATTATAGGCATGTTTGTAGACTCTATATTAACAAAATAATAAATAGCATCTTCTGACAGAATTATGGTCATATCGAGCAGTCTTAAGGGAGACCAGGCACTACGCAGAATAGGATTATAGTGCTCATAGTAAGCAAGACGTGCTTTTCTAGGCACAGGTTTTTGAGACCACATGGTCCATAGAACCGCTTATGACTTTCAGACTAATGTGGCAATCATATATATATATATAGGTAGCTTGGTGGTTTTATCTCGCTTTAGATTAGAGTGGTTATTATAGCAAGCGAAAATTCTTCAGTGACGCTGTTGTTTGTGACTGAGATGATGTGTTTCATGTTTACGATTGTACTGACATAATAAAATGTTTCCTTTACTTTTGTTAACAGTGCCAAACGTAGATAATCGTCTGTACACCCCACAATTGAATCACATCAGTATGAAGATGCCTTCCAGCCCACTTCTTATCGACAGACCTTCACCAGAAAACTTTTGTAATGCTTCAAGTATCGACGAATCTTGCAAAGCCGGCTACTGTGAATGCCCACACGTTTTATCAGTCAGAAAAAATTCTGTAGTTGAAGTTATTATAGTGGACGAAGGAGTAACATTTGACGCAAACCATCCTTTCCATTTACACGGTCATAATTTTAGAGTTGTTGGATTGAGACGTTTATCCAATCGTACAACAATTGAAGAAATAAAAGCTTTTGACGAAGCAGGGTTATTGAAAAGAAATCTTAAAAATGCCCCATTAAAAGATACAGTAACAGTACCTGATGGTGGTTACACAGTTATTAGATTTAAAGCTGATAATCCTGGATATTGGTTGTTCCACTGTCATATAGAGTTCCATGTCGAAGTAGGTATGGCTTTAGTATTTAAGGTAGGTGAACATAAAGATATGGATCCAGTACCACCCGAATTTCCTACATGTGGTAGTTATATGCCAAAGAATATGCCAGAGCATACTACTACGGAAAAACCAAAAGATAATCACTACATATCTATTACACATTGGTGGCCTGTAGTAGTGACGAATAATACTGGTACGTCATCAGCAAGCAGCTTATCTTCTTTAAATGGATTTATACTACTAAGCAGTATTTGGATTTTGAAATTAGTTACCGGAACTAAATTATTAATATTTGTTTAAACTGTATTTCGTAAAACGAAATAATTTCAATAGAACAAATTATTTAATAAGATTTTGTACTTACAACGCTCAGAGCGAAGTCACACGATGTGTTGCGGGGCTTGTGCGATATCGCATTGAAATTATTTCGCCGTACGGGTGTCACACAGCCGGTGCACCTTTTTAATGCATCGATGGTAGATTTAGTGAGGAAAGTAAATGTAAAGCGTGCAGCGATGTGGGACATCCAACGCTCATTATATACACCCGATTTTGTGGTATGTCTTGTATGACAGTCGTTTGAAATGTATCTCAAACGCATCGTCGCATCCTACGCCATAGCTGGGCGTGCAAAGGTCCAAACATCATGTGCCACTAAAACGCTCTTTTACACACCGTGTTGCCTCGCCCTTAGTATATTCAATTCAACTAGTTCATGATAAAATGTTTTTATTATTTCGTAATTGTTATTTATCGCAAAGTACTTATAGTATTTGTTATTTATTTTAATATTATAAGATAATCGATACATAATTCAGTGAGTACAGTCTTAGCGTTGTAGATTTTGTAAAAGTATTTTGTAAGATTTACAGTCTGTGATCAAAGTTTAAAATCGTGACTTGCCAAAAATTATGATGCAAAACATTTTCAGAAAATGTTTTGTGATGTTATCGATGTGTGAAATGTCGCTGATGATATGTGATATTACTTAGGTAATGTATTATAACTTATAAGTTATTTTAAATAAAATTGTTAAGTATTTTGCAGTAAAATTAAATAAAGATGCAAGTAATTTTAAAATGTTGTTTTTTTCTTTCCCTGTATATACCGAGTATTGAAAGAAATATATGTATGGTGATGATGATAGCTTTTTATAATATAATGTTGATTAACTTTTTTCTTTTAACAATAGATTTAAAAAAAACTTCTGTCCTGGGAAGAACAATCAAGGAACCCAGTGAGACCTTTTCAAATTAACATTTTACAGTTATATACACAGGTTTTTAATTAATATAAAATTCCTTTAAGAATCAACTTGGAAGCGATCACCTCGTCCTTAGGGATTATTAAGCATAAAAATGTGTTTAGTAATACTATAATTACCCTTTTATGCAGTCGTAGTTATTTAAACAATTTAAGCTTGCCGTTAGAGAGACCCTGTATATTTTGTGGGACTTTGCTTTAAAAGCGTTTATATAAATTAATAAGAATGTGGAGTCGAGTAACTAGTGTTACTAGCTTGTGTTTGTTTCTAGTGCTTACAGAATATCTACCATATTATATTATAATTTACTTTTTGTTTTTCTTGTTGCACAAAACATAGATGAAATGCCTCGTTTCCAATAAAAATTGTTTCCAGTTCTCTACACTCACTACACAAAACAAAGAATAATTAATCTGCTATTTCACGCTGCTGTGAGATTTCAACTTTAAATCGTTCCTTCAGACCTTGTCTAAACTAGCCAGTAAATTTGATTAGAGAAATAAAATTATTAATTATTTGGATACCGTATGTCTCTATGAAAAAAAGTAAAGTTGCAGCCTATTGTCTCTATAAATACTTTAATATATTATAATTACTTCATAAAAATTGCTCCATAAGTTGTGTTGGAAATGGTTCTCTTCCAAAGCAAAAGAGGATTTGTCTCAATGTTAAAAATAACGCTCAAGAAGTGTATCTGTGATCGTACCGATCGATCAGACGTTCTGAAGATTTTATATCTGCTACGTAAACTCGCTGACCATCATCATCACCATCATCATTACAGCCCTTCACAAGTCCACTGCTGAACATAGACCTCCCCTATGGAATGCCACATAGCACGGTCCTGAGTCACCTGCATCCATCGACTTCCTGCATATCTTACCAGGTCGTCACTCCATCTAGTGGGGGGACGCCCTACACTTCGCCTGCCGGTACGAAGCTGCCACTCGAGAACCTTTCTTCCCCATCGGTTGTCGGTTCTTCGAGCTATATTGCCAGCCCATTGCCACTTCAGCATACTAATTCTTTGCGCTACATTGGTTACTCTGGTTCTACTGCGGATATCCTCGATTTTAAGTCTATCACGCAGAGAAACGCCGAGCGTTGCCCTTTTCATAGCTCGCTGAAGGACTTTGAGCTTCCTCAAACGGCCAGCAGTGAAGGACCTCATCTCAGATCCGTAGGTCATCACTGGTAACACGCACTGGCGAACGCAGTCCAGCCGAGTTGAATCCTCACCTCACCTCACGGTCGAAGTTGGACTTACCTAGTCGGACTATTTGTCCCAGGTAAACATACTCGTCAACAACTTCGAGCTTAGGGCTCCCAACAACTACCGGCATAGGCGTGACATGGACGTTAAACATGATTTTTGTTTTGTCCGTGTTCATCTTAAGACCTATCCGTTGGGAGACACTATTGATCATACCTACCTCTATATATGGGAAGTCACAAAATGTTTTGTGCCTTGCCCTAAGTCGCCTCTTACGATATGCAATGGTCGAGATGGTTTATAGTTTCTCTCACTAACAACTCACGCTTGAATTCGTGATATTATTTGTTTTCATTTTCCTCCATCAGGAGGTCCAGACCGTCATTTAACTGTGTCCACGTGCAGTTGAGTTTAAGAAGGTTAAATCTTTAATTCAAGTAAAAGTAGGTGAAACTTTCACCCTTCTTGCTTTATAAAATACTATCTCTTTAAATCTCGAAAAACCTAGCGCCTTCCGATAATATTACTGCAATATTATATTTTACAATTTAAAAGTCTAAGAGAAAAGAAAATTAGACACAAGTATGTAGCGTAAAAACGATATCTAAAAAAATCGCTTATGAGAGGAACTACTAGAGCTAGATACTGTTTTTATAATATATGCCTTTTGCACAATGGACTAGTGTAAAATATAATACGATTCCATTTTGAAAAATAGAATGATATAAAATAGTAATTATCATGCATATTATAATAATACTATTGATCATGCCATCTATTCATGCTTACTAAAAGTTGCAGTCCACTGCTGAGCAATCCTGGGGAGACCTCTCATAAATTGCTTCAACGGGTTCGGTCATTGCCACGTTAGGCAGGCGACAACCGCAGATTTTATTATTTTGAATTGTTATCAGGAATATTCAGCTGCCCATCTCTTGTTTCATTTCCCTCTGTTGCATCTAACGGCACTCAAGGGACGACATTGGATAGTGAATGCTTTTAAGAAAATTGCTAACATGAAAACTATTAAATTAAATTTTCAAATTCGTGTGCTACTTGTGCCCGCAACTTTGTTCGTCAACACAGGTAGTGCTTAATATTTCTCAAGTTAATTGATCCTTGTTAATCTACGAATTTATTTGTAGTTGAATTTAAAATTAATTTTAATTTAACCGTAGACTACTCTTAATATGTTTTATGTTAATCGAAATAATTTTAGTTTATCTATAATAAGATATTTTTTTTGTAAAATGGTAGTTTTTATTTTCCGAATGTCTATTTTTGAGTTATGATGTAGAGACATGCACACTTTTACTGAATACAATACTGGCGGTTGGTTATTTTATACAACCTAATTATTACAGGTAGCGAAACACTTTTTACGTGGTAGAGCCGTGCTGCAGCTATAATGTGGTTGCAACAATAAGGGGTCGGCTCGACCGGAGTAAGATCACGGTCTCGTAGAATACCAGCGTAAAATAGCAGCTTAATGCTGCTGTGTTTCGAATGGCAGCTGTAGAGAAGTGGAGACCCTTTTTATAGGAAACGAGGCATTCCATCTCAGTCCTTAGAGGTCATAACGCATCTGCATTTTGATTCTTAATTGATGATTAGTGTAGATGACTATGAGCCACAGATTCTACTTACCATCAGGTGGACTGTGTGCTCGTTTGTCACCCTCATTCTATAAAAAAATAAAACTAAAACAAACAGCTTCCAGTCTCCTTTATAACAGCTCTAGTGTTAAGAGATCACCAGTTTATATATCGTACTATACTTCTTTATAATTATTTAATTTAATGGTATCTTTTATTTATATATTACGAGTTTTTTTATGTAGGCTTTTATATTATTTCGGAATATATTATATTTTAATTTATTTAATTACAATGTTTTAAAGCAGACCATACACTAAAGCCTTGGTATTTTCGTAGAGTATAGGAATCGCTTGAGGTAGGAATACTCATTAGATAAATTAAGTGTATAAAATCTAATAATTGCTGTAGGTTGAATAAGGAATACAAGTCGGATGACTAAGGAAAACATATCGTATGATAAGACTCTTCATAGGATGAATACGGAATAACTAAGAAACTCGTAAGTGCTATGAAAATTACGTTCATTTGTTATTCAAAACAAAAATAACAATGTTTAAAATTTCACCGGTAAAGCTGTTATAGTTTGTAAAACTCGCGAAAAGTTTTCTATCATTGAAAATTTTCACAGCAACGAATAGAATAAACATTTTATTTTGTCTGTTGAATGAAATAAGCAGATAGAATTGTATTGTAAGGTGAATTTTTCGACTTATATAAATACACCTAATATTATTCATTTATACATATTAAATGTACTTTACGGGTAGTGGATATTCGTAAACTGCCCCTACACTAGTGTAAGGGCGATGTAAGAATATCTACTACCCCATGTCGTCCCGTGGGTGTCGCAAGAGACGACAAAGGGAAATGAAACGTCCTGATATCAACGAAAATAATAAAAAATTGCTTGTGTGCGAGGCAATTACGGCAAATATCCCTTTAAGAGAATTTATGGAGACATATTTTAAGCGGTGAACTTTAGATAGGTTGTAATGGTGAATGTATTTATCACTGCTTCTGCATTGCTACTCAATTATGTTTTTATACGTGGCATAGCCATACTGCAGCTATATTAGTATCTATATATATAGTAGTAGTATAGTTGTAGCACGAATGGATCGGCTCGACCGTGGTAGGACCACACCCTCACAGAATACCAGTGCAAAATAGCAGCTTAACACGGCTGTGTTTCGTATGGTGAGTGTAGAGAACCGGAGACCCTTTTTACTGGAAAAGAGGCATTCTATCTTAGTCCTCACGGGTGACAACGCATCTGCATTTTGATTCGCAAACGAGGATAAATGTAGTTGTCTATGGGCCACAGCAACCACTTACAATCAGGTGGACTGTGTGCTCGTTTGTTGCCTATCCTATAAAAAAAAAGTGTTTGGATTTAAATTTGTGCAATTGATTGAGAAAATATTATGTACGTGATAGGTAGGGTAGTGGTGGCGTAAGATAATTCATTATCCCATATCATATACTGGGTATCGTCTGAAGAGGAAGAGGAAAAAAAACAGGAGATTAATTCTAGCAGATTATGATGTAGCAGATTAATTATGCTGTTTCATTCTCTGAGTGACAATAACGGTAGTCCTAGTGTGAGTGCCACTATTAACAAGCACTCTTTTACTGTAAATGAGGATTCCTTATTAGTTTTCATGGATAACAATGCATTTCTGCTTTTTCATTCTTAACTGATAATAGATGTAGATAATATATGTAACACTAACGGGCTGCAGCATTCACTTACCGCTAGGTGGTGTATGTGCTGGTTTGTAAACCTTTTTTTTTAATAAAAACAAGTATAATAAATGTATAATTTCAACGGAACAAGCCCAACGGCTAAACAGTAATACAAAAATATCTGATTAGGAAAATTTATTACAAAATAAACCCTATATAACTTCCACATATATGTGTTTTATAAGACTAATAAGACTAATCTAACGATATTCAATACGTTAAAACCGATCAAGTCTCTTAGCATACATAGCGTGCTAAAGAAATACGACATACATACATAAACACAATATATATATATATATATATATATATATATATATATATACTCACACTTGAAAACCGTATTTCTAGGACAGTCGGGTTAAAACAGCGGATTGATATATTAAGAAAAATTATGAAAAATGATTGGTGATGGAGCGCAGGGGAAAGAAGTTTTAATTATGATTAACGCCTGCAGATAATATTGCCGCAATATTAAGTTGTAGGTACTAGCGTTATTTTTAACATATGTTTTTATAATCAACATTATTAGCACTTTACAAGTCTACTGTTGAACATAAGTCTCCACGAAGGCATGTCACAAAACACAGTCTTGAGCCACCTGCATCCATCGACTTTCCGCACGTTTGACCCTGTCACTACATCTAATAAAGGCAGATGCCTTATACTTCGTTTACGGTACTTGGCTATTCCTCGAGAACCTTTCTTCCCCATCGGTTGATGGTTCTTCAAGCTAAATAGCTGGCCTGTTGCCGCTTTAGTTTACTGACCATTGGGGCTATGTCGATTACAATTCTGGTTCTAATACGTATATTATTTTCATTACACTTTTTAATAATTGATATTATTTATTTTACGTATTCTTTTCTTTTGTTAAGTGATAAATTTTATAATGCATACTGTGTACAACATAAGTCATGTTACCTTTGCCTGCCCTATAAAAAAAAAAGGAATCCTTGCTGCTTGGTGTGTTTTTTTTGTATCTATGCCTCCCGCAAAATGTTTTTGTCATGTCATAGTTTTTTATTACTGTTCTCAACTTCTCATCTCTGTGCTTTATGTTAATACATAATAGAAATAAAAAGTTTATTTAGAAATCTTACTTAATATTATTATTTTTGGTCCCATAATAATAGGTTATGGGCCCAGGTACGCTTCGTAATAAACTGAGTAAAGAGCAGAACTTATAAGGTGAAAACAAGCACGTGTTCGATAGTGAAGAAAACAAAATGGAAGTCACAAATTCAATGAGAATTGAGAAGTTTAACGGCAAGGATTTTCGACAATGGAAATTTCAAGTCAGTTGTGCCTTAAAAGCGAAAGGTTTAAATATCCATAAAAAAAAAAAACCGACGGTGGGTGATACGACGCAGTGGGACAAAAATGATGGCATGGCCATGTTTCTATTAACTTCGTCTATGGAACTGAACCAAATCTCATTAATTGAAAATTGTGAAACAGCAAAGGAAGTGATGACAAGGTTGGAATCAATTTACGAACAAACATCGGAACTGAACAAAATGATGGTGCACGAGAAATTCTATCAATATAAGATGTCATCAACCGATAGTATTGCACAGCATATTTCCAAAGTCGAGAACTTAGCTAAACAATTAAAAGAGACTGGCGAGGAAATAAGTAATACATCAATTATGACAAAAATATTAAGTACACTACCTTCAAAGTATCGTTCTCTGCGTCAGGCATGGCTGTCATTAGATCCACATTCTCAAACAATTCAGAACTTAACAGCAAGATTATTAGATGAGGAGGCGAGTTTGACAAATGAGGAGGAATCTGAGAGTGCTTTAGTAGCCATGAAACATTCTAAGCCACAAAGAAAATTTCAGAATCACAATATGAAAAAAATTTCAACGTCTGGTCAAAATAATCAGCATCGATTTATATGTTATAACTGTAACAAGAGAGGGCATTTTGCAAGAGATTGTCGAGCCCCAAAGAAGTCTGAGAGGAAACCTCAAGAGCAAAAGATGCTTGCATTCAGTGCCGAGCAATGTTTACAGTCTGAAGCAGATATAGATACATGGATTCTTGACAGTGGTGCATCTGCACACATGTCATACAGGCGCGATTATTTCAGTGAGTTAATGGATTATGGCAAGAATAGTGGTGGTACAACTGTGAGATTGGGAAATAAGAAGGAACTAGTGGTGCAAGGTTGTGGAAATATATTAATTAATAGATGTGTGAATGGAAAGTGGGAGAAAAGTATTCTAGAAGATGTACTTTATGTACCAGAGCTACGCAGAAATTTGTTCTCAGAAGGCATGGCAACAAGAAAAGGCTATGTTATAATTAAGAAGTACAATGAGGCCTTAATATTAAAACATAATACTGTTGTTATGACTGCAACATTGAAGCAGAATAATCTATATGAAGTAAATATTAAAACCACAGTGCAAATAGATTGTAATTTAGCACAGTCAAGTTTGAAAATCTGGCATGAACGTTTGGGACATTTAAACTTGAAGGAAGTGAAAAACATGAGCAAGAATGGTGCAATTCCAGTAAAGTTAACGGATGACATCAACTTTGTGTGTGAGGCTTGTCAATATGGCAAACGGAGCCACTTGCCATTTCATAAATCTTGTAGAGGAGAATGTGAACCTGGTGATTTAACCTACAGTGATGTGTGTGGACCTGTAGAACATACATCTGTATCTGGAGCAAGATATTTTGTTTTATTTAAAGATGGTGCCACCAGCTAAAGACATGTGTTTATTATCAAGCACAAAAGTGATATCCTGGATTGCTTTAAGAAATACAATGCAATAGTGAAAAATAAGTTTGGTCATGGCACTCGTATATTGCATACAGACAATGGACGTGAGTACGTTAACAATGAACTTAAATCTTATTTGAATAGTGAAGGAATAGTTCATGAACGCACAGCACCCTACACGCCTGAACAAAACGGTAGAGTGGAGAGAGAAATGCGGACAATAATGGAGAGTGCAAGATCTATGTTGTACTCTCGTGATATCTCATTGGATCTCTGGGCTGAAGCAGTAAACTGTGCTGTTTATTTATTAAATCGAAGTTCTTCTACCCAGACAAAGGATATATCCCCATATGAGCTGTGGAATGGACAGAAGCCAGCCCTTCAACATATAAGAGTATTTGGTTCAGAAGGATATGTCCATATACCTGATGAAAGAAGAAGAAAACTAGATAAAAAGAGTGTAAGATTAATATTAGTAGGATATGAAAATGAAAATTATAGAATGTTTGATATTGAAAGTGGGAAGATAACAATAAGTAGAAATGTACACTTCAATGAGAACAACATACCAGTACTGAGGAAACACACAACTTCAATTTCTATCACCGATGAACAAGAGCAAAGAGAAGGCATACAAGATATACCAGTTTCTCCAGGAGACAACCAAAATATTTCTGAATCTAGTTTTGAAAGTGTAGAAACACAAGAAGATCCCAATGATGTGACGTACCAGCCTCCACAAATAATTTCTGAAGATGATGAAAGAAATATTACACTGAGACCTAGAAGGAAAAGAAATGAAGAAGCAAATTTTATTGAGTTAGATGTACCTACGACATATGAAGAAGCTATAAACTGTAAAAATAGTAATAAATGGAAGGAAGCTATATGTGAAGAATTAGAGTCATTAAAAGAAAATAAAACCTGGAAGTTAGTAAACAGAAATAATGAGAAAACAGTGACCTCAAAATGGGTATTTTGTGTAAAAAGAAATTCAGATGGTGATATAGAAAGATACAAAGCTCGTCTTTGTGCACGTGGGTTTACACAAACTAAGAACGTCGATTACAAGGAAACATTTTCACCAACAACAAGATTCGATTCCATTAGAATAATATTATCTCTTGCAGCTCGAGAGAATTATGAACTACAACAATTTGATGTCAAAACAGCATTTTTGTACGGTGAGTTATCAGAGGATGTCTATATGGAGGTGCCTGAAGGTGTCCATGCTGAGCCAAGGAAAATCTGTAAGTTAATAAAATCAATATATGGGCTAAAACAGTCATCACGCTGTTGGAATAGAAAATTCTCTTCTTTCCTAACTACTTATGGTTTTGAAATGTGTCCCTCTGACAACTGTATATTTGTGGGTCATTTTAATAATTATAAAGTTATCTTGATCTTGTATGTAGATGATGCTTTATTATTGTCAAAAAGTAAAAGTATATTGTTGCATATTATAAATGATTTAAAACAAAGTTTTAAGATAAAAGATTTTAATTTAAATATGTTTGTTGGCATGGAAATAACTAAAAATGATGGAATAATTACTTTAAGTCAAAAACAGTACATAAAACAAATTATAAATAGATTCAACATGTCAGATGCCAATCCTTGTAGTACCCCTGCTGACAATAATGTAATTTTAAAGAAAAACGATAGTGAGAGTAACATTAATTTTCCATATAGGGAAGCAGTAGGAGCCCTGATGTTTTTGTCAACCGTATCTAGGCCTGACATTTCTTATTCTTTGAATGTAGTTAGTAGATATTTAAATAATCCCAGTAAAGACCATGTAAATGCTGTTAAACGAATTATTCGGTACTTGTTAAAGACAAAAGATGTTTGTATTACTTATAATTGTAACAAAGAACTAGTAGGTTTTTCTGATTCTGATTTTGCCTCAGATATTGATTCTAGAAAATCTAATACAGGATATATTTTTATGATGAATGGTGGACCTGTTTCTTGGGCTAGCAGGAAGCAAAATACTGTGGCATTATCAACTACAGAATCAGAGTATATGGCTGCAAGTGAGGCTGCCAAAGAAATTTTATGGCTTCGGCAGTTATTAATTGATATTGATGAACCACAATTGGTGATAACCCTATGTATAGATAATCAGAGTGCTATTAAACTCATTCATAATCCTATTTACCACAAAAGAACAAAGCACATAGACATAAGATATAATTTCATCAGAGAAAAGGTAGAACAAAATGTAATAAATGTTCAATATGTGAAAAGTTCAAATCAACTTGCAGATTTTTTAACAAAAGCTTTACCTTCTGGTAAATTTATTCTTAACAGAGATCAAGTACTGAATATAAACTGAGGTTTTTAGGTATAATATTAAATACTTAGTAGGTTTAAAGGTTAGTTTTGTTAGTAGACAGTAAGTAAGCTGGTTTGAAGCTTAATTTAAGTATAGTATTGTAATCATTCTAAAATTTAAGTGGGAGTGTTAAGTGCTAAATTTTATAATGCATACTGTGTACAACATAAGTCATGTTACCTTTGCCTGCCCTATAAAAAAAAAAGGAATCCTTGCTGCTTGGTGTGTTTTTTTTGTATCTATGCCTCCCGGAAAATGTTTTTGTCATGTCATAGTTTTTTATTACTGTTCTCAACTTCTCATCTCTGTGCTTTATGTTAATACATAATAGAAATAAAAAGTTTATTTAGAAATCTTACTTAATATTATTATTTTTGGTCCCATAATAATATCTTTTATAGTTTTATGTAGTATATTTTTATTTGTCCGATATCGTGTTTTATAAAATGCTCTGAAGATCACTAAGATCGGTATTTAATCATGGTTCTAATACGTATATTATCTTCATTACACTTTTTAATAATTGATATTATTTATTTTACGTATTCTTTTCTTTTATAGTTTTATGTAGTATATTTTTATTTGTCCGATATCGTGTTTTATAAAATGCTCTGAAGATCACTAAGATCGGTATTTAATCATTATTAAATGTGCACTTTTGTTTTTTATTAATGTTTTAAAAATAAACACAAGTATGAGTTTTGAAAAATTAAATAAATAAATTACGATTTCTATAGTGCAAATAAATTATTTTGTAATAAAAATTCTTCTTAAAAAAATTTTTTTAATTGCTACTTCTGGGCTCTCAATATTTGGTTTCCTCTAAATTAGTCTGTAACATCCCCAAAGAAAGGTTAGTGTTTTATGGTTACATCACATACTAGCTCTTCAATTATAACAAAAATAAAATATATAATGATAAGAATAACTTTGGTTTCTTTCTAGATATGATATATCTGTTTAGCATAGAACACTTATCCAATGCGCAAGTAAATAGTCCTCTGAATAAACGCAAATATAGAAATACGGTGACGTGCTGACAGCGAGGCGGAGCTTTCAAACACCCATTGCGGTTACAGTATTGCAGCGGTCAGCACATTCCTGCTTAAATTGTATAGCATTGCGTAGCTGCACGATCGCGAGAGTTCTCCAATGCTCATAAAAGTACAAAATAAATGGCATTTAGTGCTCGAATATACTTTCCTCTATTTTTTCCGCTTATACTATGAAAGTTTTGTTCACATTAAATTCACGGACTTTTGTTTTAATTGGCAATATAATTCGTCTCAAATAAATACAAATCACTCAATTAATTTAAAGAGTGTTATGCTTTATTTAATAATAATATATTCAAAAATTTTCAACGCATAAGTATTAGAAAATAATTAACGCAATTTAATTAATTAAGAAAAAAAATTTAAAAGAAAATATTTTTAAGAACTTCTTAACATAGATATATTTCTAACGTTTCAATTCCAAAGTATGATGTAAATTAGAAAAGTAATTTTGTATTTCAGTAAAGTAATCCATTGCAAAATTTACGCCTGAGTACTAGATAATACTTAACACAATTTAATTAATTAAAAAATAAAATTTGAAAGAAAATATTTTTAGGAACATCTTTACATAGATATATTTCAAACGTTTTAATCCCAAAGTGTGATGTAAATGAGAAAAGTAATTTTGTATTTCAGTAAAGTAATCCTTTGCTTAAAGTGGCGGTGTAAAAATTCACAACCACTATATCAAGCCGTGAGCATGGGTGTCATAAGAGGATACTTCTTAGCTGCCTTTTCCTCTTGGATTAAAACGGATTAGAGCCATACTGTAGCTACATATATAACAGTTGTAGTACGAATGGGTCGGCTCGACCGGGATAAGACCACGCTCTCATACATATACAGCCTATCAAAAATCCAATTTTGAATACAGGCCTGCCTCAAAGTGTCCCTCATATCGAGAGAGAATAATTCCTACGCTTGGCAACGGATTAGCAACCATAGTTTTATTATTTTTAGTTGTTCTTATTTGGAAGAGACTGCTGCCAATCCCCTGTTTTTTTTTTATAAATTGAGGGTGACAAACGGCTACACAGTATACCTGATGGTAAGTGGATGGTTGTGGTAAGTGGCACAAAGACATTAACATTCACCCGCAATTACATGATTTACGTTATGTTACGTGTTAGAGCCAAGTTGCAGCTATATATATATAGTTGTAGCACGAATGGGTCGGCTCGACCGGGGTAGAACCACGCTCTCACAGAATACCAGCGTAAAATAGAGGCTTAATGCTGTTGTGTTTCGTATGGTGAGTGTAGAGAACCGGAGACCCTTTTTACTGGAAAAGAGACAATTCCATCTTAGTACTCAATGCTGACAACGCATCTGCATTTTGATTCGTAAACGAGGATAGATGTAGATCTCTATGGACCACAGCAACCACTTACCATCAGGTGGACTGTGTGCTCGTTTGTCACCCTATTTCTATAAAAAAAATTAAGAATGAAAATGCAGATGCGTTGTCACCACTGAAGACTAAGGTATAATGCCTCGTTTTCAGTAATAAGGGCTTCATGTAATAAGGGTTTCCGGTTCTCAACACTCACCATACAAATCGCGGAAGCATTAACCTGCTATTTTACGCTG